CTTGTATATTCATTAAAAGTTTAGGCCACGATATAAAAGACCGCTGAGACTTCACGAAATAGTGGAAATACTGACGACAATGATCAGATAGCGAATTACATAGCAATTTTACCACCAGAAAATGCTAATGCAGAAGCAACAGATGAAGATTCTGGTGAAGAAGACCACGTTACCTTACAAAATCTTCCAGGTTAGCCTGCTAAAGCGTGTAAGTTTTCTATTACTATTTTTCGTGAATTACCAGGTTCTCAACTTAGAGCCGAGGCAGAAGTACAGTACGACAAGTCTTCTTCAGACAAAGAGGATAACATCCCGCTTTCTGAATTTTTTAAAGTAAGACGAAATGAATCTAATGATGCCTCCAATGCAGCTAGTTCTTCTGCCATGAAAGTACCTACCGCAATCACAATTATTACAACAATGCAATATAGTGCAAGTACCTTCTGTTAAAGTTTGTGCCAAACAATATTTATGAAGAATTGCGCCACAACCAGGGTCTACGGAGCTTACATCTCTATGTACATACGTAGGGATGTAAGCTCCGTAGACCCGGTAGACCCGTAGACGAGTACATACTCGTACTACTGTACTTACGAGTACTACATGCAACTGACATGTAAAATTTGCAAGAAAAAATTAATTTGGTGTAAAAAATGCGCCACGTACCTACTAAAGTATCCTGGGTTATGAATTATGTCTACACCGTCCTCCTACCTCCTCTGAATAAGATTTTGGTATTTTTTAAATAAATGTGTATAACTTACAACTCGTTTTTAACTCTTAAACCTAACAAAATCAAAGTATAATTTTTTCACGTAGTAGTAGTCCATTCTCCGACCAGGTGTTAAAACACCACCCATTTTCCGGCTTTTCCAGTTGACCAAGAATTTTTCTAAAATTTTTCTGTGGATACTTGACCTCTATTTAGAAACATACTAAAAATTTATAAAAATTGACAAGGATAAAAAGTTTCAGGAGTATCTGGGTTAAGTGTAACAAACATTATACCACGTGTGTTACACTATAGAACGCGTTGTTACATGCAATGTACTCTAACTCTTCTATATTTTTACAATGTAACAAAGTCATAACACATGTGTTACACTACAGAACGCGTTGTAACACTAACGAAATTCAACCGTTCCCTCCATTTCCAGTACTGCATAAACGGGCGATGTATAACAGAACACGAGAACATAATCCCGGACTACTCGCAGCACACGCCGAGCTACGTTCGACCGGAGACAAGCCCGTTCTACGGGAACGTTACTAGGTATGTAACCGCTGGTTACAAAGCTAGCCAACTGATAGTTTGATATTGTTAAACTATCAGTTGGCTATCCGTGATAATTTGACATCATCACAATCAGGTCATTTTATTATCCACTGCTGGAGAAAGACCTCTAATTTACTAGAAGAAAATTGAGGATTTAGCCTACATACCCCATACTGGCCTGAAGGGTTTGGGAGACAATTGACTCTATTATCATTTTATTATTGACATAGCAAGTAACTATTGTACTTATGTGTATAACAGACCTATCCACTTTATACGTTAACATATTTACACACTCTCGCCTGGCACACTTATTTAGGTTTTTTGTTAATCGTCAAAGGCACGGGTAGTGTGTAAGTATGTTGATGAATTAACAACGAGTAATGTAATTTAAGATTTAAATGATTAGGTGCTATTATTGCTACTTAATGTGTCATTAGCCCCCTTATTCATAATTTTATGTCTTTTTATCTCGCCGAAATCAACATTCTGATAAAGCCCGGTCTCTGAGCACGTAGAATTTTGTCCAATGAACCCAAGCTACCCATCCTTATCGCTCGCGCGTAAATATATTGCTGTCGCGACTGTGCGACGGGCGCCCGCAGTGAGTGTGTGAGTGCGACAGCGACATAATTACGCGCGAGCGATAAGGATGGGTAGCTTGGGGTCATTGGACAAAATTCTACGTGCTCACGGACCAGGCTTTAGAAAGCTTTACTGACAAGACTGTTATTTTTTATGGATAAGGGGGTAAATGTTTTTCAGTTAAGCATATACTTACCTTCACTTTAAAATTATAAAAGGATGATTTCATTTAGTAACTTCAATAAGCTCACTATGCAAATATCGAGTCAACAAAATTCTCGCAAAACATAAATTACATTATCCTCACATATTTGAGGATTTTATATCCCATCATAATGTGACATCACAATACTGGCACAGCCAATGAGAAGACCCACACACTCTCATTCCAGTCAGTATGTGTACATCCATACAACATCCAAAGGAACATACTAATAAATATTTGTTTGACAAACACAGCTACGAAGCCACCACACAGCCTTACGTGCCTAGCACTACACCACCCATATACCAAAGGCATTACTACGACACGCAAACAACAACTACAACAACAACAACGACAGAAAGATTCTTCACAACCAGAAAATCGTTCTTCACTGAGAGAACCACCGTCTCGCCAAGCACATACCCACCATCAATAAATAAATACTCAGTTTCAACGACAAGGAGTCCGTACGATTTCAAAGACTTTTACACGCGGACGACTAAGTCGACGCCGAAATCGGAACAAAAACATGGCTTTTACAGCAAAGACGAGTTCGACAGATTCTTTAAATCGACCACAAAAAGTCCGCACTCTGACAAAGAAATCAAATCCATATTCAAATTCGGCACATACTACTCGCAACCGAAATCGAGTGACAACTCGATAAGGCCAGATGCTAACTCGCAGCAAGTACAAATCGAACCGGCGAGACTGGTGTTCTCGTATCAGAGGAACTTGACGACGGGCGAGCTTCAGAAGTAGACGAATTTAGCACTTATTGGTAAGGTCATAGTGCCTTGGAGACATCTATCGCCATGGACCTTCCACATCAATCAATCTTCATTCATCCACAATGGTGTTCAGAAGTAATATTCGATTAAACAAAATATAATATTGCTTCTGAATAACATACAACTTCGAAGAAGGATTTTGACGTTGTACATACTTCTGTTAACCCTTTTACCAGTACAGAGAAAAAACATTGGCTTTGAACTTTATTTCATGTCAATAAAGTTCAAGATATGATGGAAACAATTCGGCCACTAGGTAAAGGGTTAAACGTCATCATCATACTACTTTACTATACTTCTCAACACAAATCATTGCATTGCAGGTGTACATAACTACTACATACGAGAATGACAATATTTTTCATAAGAATTTGCACGAATTTCGATCCTAGTCTAATCTATACCTACCCTCACACCACATGTTTCCCTCAATGTACAAAATAATACCTACATAAGACTAAATCTGTCTATATAAATAAATCACTATAACTATCATTATTCAAAGTATTTGCAGTATGTTACTTGATTTATTAACCCATTTTAAAATCAAAATAAAAAAACAAGAATAAATCAACTGGCATTCATAAATTACTATCTAAGCATGTTTCTTCGCCTAGTGTTAAAAATACATACATTATTTTTACATTTACTCTTAATATAATCTACATATTTAAGTAAAATATCCAGTTACATAATCTATTAATTATTATGCATATCAAGATTTTATTGTTTGTATAATTTATTAAATTATTGTATTGTAGTCTTACTTATGAGCTTTGTGAAATATCGTTCTATTTTCTGAATATTTTCTTATCATTTGCATGTATGAATATTATTATTATTAAGAAACATAATTATTAATTCATTTATTTTTTTTCAGCAGCCGCCACTAGATTAATGAGCGGTAAAGCATAAAGACTGTCCCGCGGCCGCCATACGGCGCCGCTACCGAGCGAGACGCGCGGCCCACAACGAATAGCTTTACCTACTATCCACGCGGTAACGTCGAGTACCACGCTGTAACATCGAATAACCGCGCCGTAACACAAGTTTCCGCGCTGTAACATCGAGTACCCGCGCGGTAACGTTACTTCTGCGCTGAAATGTCCTGTATCCGCGCGGTAACATCGAGTACCCGCGTGGTAACATCGACCATCGACACGGTAACACCGAGTACTGCGCTGTAACATTGTGTATCCGCGCGGTAACATCGAGCTACCATCCAGACGGTAACTTGTCAGTTGCCGCGGTAACCGGGTGTTACTATCCAGTCGGTAGCCGGGTGTGATCGTTACTGTAATCGCAACGAATTTTTGTGATAACGAATATCAAATAAGAGCGAGCAGATTGCCCTTTGCTCGCTCTTATTTCAGTAACTTGCGGTCGTCGCGCAGTGAATGTGGTGTCTGACGAACATTGGTGTCAGCGCCCGAGAGTGATATCATGTGATTGTGTTACTATTAATGAACCATAAGCAGTAGGATTAGTGTACTGAAGAGTGATCCGAATATCCAGTTTGGAAATAGAAATACTCCTTAGCCTACGATTTGTCGTTAGAACGATTGTAAAGATAGCGTTCAATAAAAGAAACTGCCACGAAGTGCCTTTTATACAGTAATTGTTAAGAATAAAGTAGGTTTATTTTTTTGTTTGTTTAAAAATCGACTAGAGCGACTGGTTCGCGACCCTCAGAACAATATTTAGTTGTATTTTTTTTTTCTCTAATTTTATAAGTAATTTTACACTGTTTTGTGAAACTTTGGATTTATTTTATCAAGAAATTTGATAGCCCTTGTTGTAATTTAAGCCTGTTTTTAATTTCTAAAACTATTTATGTGACATAGATCTTTAATTATAAAGTTACCAATAGAATAAAAATAAAATGCAATTATTTTTCCTGTGTAGACTTCTCGGTGTTGAGAATAACAGTGACTTAACTATACATCACTTGCTGTTAACTATTTATTATGTTCAAACTATTTATGTATAAATCAAAACTTATTATCATCACGAATTGTCTAAATTTTAAGAAAAAAATATAAAATAAGAAAAATTGTACATTCGTTTCATTTGATACTCCTCCATAAAAACAAGGATATTTATTTAAAGTAAAAAATTAAAACAAAATAATATTTTCCCAACACCAATATTTTATTGAATTCTATTTAGGTATAAAACTCTGTCATGCTTCCTCATTTTCGCCTAAAATTAGCAACAAAAATATTCTGATAAATTAATTCAATAAATATCATCTTAATATTTACTATGTAGAAAAAAGTTGAAGAATGTGCGATCAAAATATTTTAAAGGTCTTTTACCTACAGGTAAGCTTATGTACATCTACAAATTAAATACTAATCTACTGTATTCCTGATGTGAGGTAAATTTCCGAGTCTTTAAACGTTACCTGACAAAAAAAAATACTTTTATCCAAGTTATCTAACAAAAATATACAAAGAAATTAACCGATGCTTTGACCATTACAATAGATCCTCACAGAACAATATTGAAAGAATTTTCAAGAATACAGAATAAAATACCTCACCCACAGCAGGAATACTTAAAATATTAAAGATATTTAACCAGCTTTGACAGGTAGCGGGTTGGATCCGACATTCTTCACCAGCAGTTTGACGGCCATAGCGATGGAGAGACCAAACACTAAACCGGCTGGCATGAACTTTCTGCTGTTGTAGAACCTGGAAATAACAGAAGAATTTATACAGGGTGTTTGGCGCATCGTGTTCCAAAATGATTTGGCGGATAGAATGGGTCATTACCTATATTTTCAGCCCCCATAACACGTTCCATGCCAGGCGGCTACTTTTAAATTATTATTTTTAGTAATTTCACCAAAATACCCAAATCGCATCATTTAATGTCGATTTAAAAAAAAACTACTAGGCGTAGCCTCAAAGTAAATATTTTGTTTTGATGTGCGTTGATGTAGGATTGCATCAAATCTAAATTTACTATCAAATATCGTCTAGTTTTTTTTAAATTCAGCTTTGAAATTTTCCGAAAAGTAAAAAATGGACTGAACATTTAAGTTTACTCATGGCTATACATTTTTTTTAAAAGAGATAGCGATCTTCGGATTTTATCAAAACTTCTCTAGTCTATCCCCATTCAAACGGTATACTAATCTTGTTTAAATAATAACAACAACTTCACAAATTCCTTAAATTAGTGAATTGACTCTACTCGGACTGATTTGCGAAATTTGTGTGTAAAGCCCCTTTTTGTGTGAATAGCACGTTAAACACCTCACAAGTAAAAATTATTTATCTAATGCCTATCGTTTTTCAATGTGGATTTCTTGAAATTAAAGACGAAAATAATTATTTTGATCGTTTATTAATTATTACAAATTTTGTTCAAAATGACCGCCTCGGCAACGTATACACTCACGACATCTTCTTCTAATTTCGACTGTTGTCGTATGCAGCCACATTTCTCTTTTTATTACTACAAAGGCGTTTTCTACTCGTGGATTGGAAAAGATGGCCCTATACAGTGGCCTGCACGTTCCCCAGACCTAACTCCGTTAGATTTTTACGTCTGGGGACAAGCTAAAGAACTGGTATACGTAACGGATTCAAACAATAGAAGAACTACAACAACGAATAGAAAACGCCTTTGTAGTAATAAAAAGAGAAATGTGGCTGCATACGAAAACAGTCGAAATTAGAAGATGTCGTGAGTGTATACGTTGCCGAGGCGGACATTTTAAACAAAATTTGTAATAATTAATAAACGATCAAAATAATTATTTTCGTCTTTAATTTCTAGAAATCCACATTGAAAAACGATAGAGAAAGGGTTTTTACATTGCATAAGATAAATATTTTTTACCTGTTAGGTGTTTAATGTGCTATTCACACAAAAAGAGGCTTTACACACAAATTTCGCAAATCAGTCCGAGTAGAGTCAATTCACTAATTTAAGGAATTTGTGAAGTTGTTGTTATTATTTAAACAAGATTAGTATACCGTTTGAATGGGGATAGACTAGAAAAGTTTTGATAAAATCCGAAGATCGCTCTCTATTAAAAAAAAATTATAGCCATGTAAACTAAAATGTTCAGTCCATTTTTTACTTTTCGGAAAACTTCAAAGCTGAATTTAAAAAAAACTAGACGATATTTGATAGTAAATTTAGATTTGATGCAACCCTACATCAACGCACGTCAAAACAAAATATTTACTTTGAGGCTACGCCTAGTAGTTTTTTTTTAAATCGACATTAAATGATGCGATTTGGGTATTTTGGTGAAATTACTAAAAATAATAATTTAAAAGTAGCCGCCTGGCATGGAACGTGTTATGGGGGCTGAAAATATAGGAAATGACCCATTCTATCCGCCAAATCATTTTGGAACACGATGCGCCAAACACCCTGTATATTATTTGTTTTATGATTGGGACAAACTGGCATTTGCCTTGATGGTGAGAAATCATAACTAATCTCTGAAGACCTTATGAACATGAATTCGTAACAAACGCGAACGAAACAACAAAAGGTTGAATCTTCTGTACAGAAAGTTTTACAGTGCGTCCACTGATACGTATCGCCCTATAGGAAATGTTGAAATGATACAATTTCTTAACAGTTTTTGGTGAGCAATATACCTGTTTCATGCTATTTGTTGTACCTACTATCACAGAATAATAATAAGTACTACGTACAGAAGTTTTACTTCGCGAAGGTATTTAAAAAAATGTATGCTCAATGTCATTAACAATATGGTGTAATTTAGCTTGTCTCAAGAGTCAAGCAAGTTTGTCAGAAGTTTTGTTGACAAACGTCAGTGATCGGTACTGCGCCGAAGCTATAGGGCTGACTTCGGTAAAATGATGTGACGTGAGGTGCCAATCTGCAGAAAATGGCGGAGGAAATACATGATTTAGCATGAATTATCATGAATAATATTAACTACTTATTTACCTCTCAGTGTCTTGAGGCAACTTAAAAAAGTACATTCTGTGTTTTTATTATTATTTAGACAGTTAAATACTGCACAGTATTTAGTACACCATTTTCTTTATTTTTTTCCATCATACACAAGAATACGCGTGCGTGAGTCAATGTTCGCTCGTATGTGAGGCCTTGTCGAATAGTACTCTTGTAGGGGGCAATCGTGCGTGTTTTGTTTTCGATGTAAACTCGCGGAGATGAACAGGCCTGCTACAGTCCTATCAACTTAAGCTGAGAATTGCATTTGTGTGAGTGATCGCCAAAAGTACCGTTAGTAAAACACATACAAATAAAATTAATGTTTTATTAAAAGGAAGTCTATAAAACACTTGCTACCAATTGGGCCGATGCAATGTAACGACACTTGACACATCCTTTTAAATAAATAAATAAATAAAAACAGGTCCTCGCTCAGCATATGCCAAGGCACGAAGTACCTCGACGCTGATATTCTGCGAGCACCGTTTATAGAAAGGGCGTACAGCCAGCCTTACAAAATACAACAAAAAGACAAACTTTATAAAATTACAAAATAAAAACAGACTAAAAACTTTTCGTTCACATCTTTAAAATACACTCGACAGCAAATAAATCGCACCACCCGTGACGCGAACTTTAAAGATTTTCTTTTGACACAATAATGGTGCCCCAACAATATTGGTGTTATTTGAAAGCCCAATAAATATCCTTAAAGAAAAACATATTTAATTTCTTAATAAATGATTAACATATACCATAAATGTGACTTGAAAAAAGACCTCACTTTGGGCTCACCTCTGGGATCAATTAGACCAAATTTTATGGTTATGAAACCAAATAATGATCACACGTGTCCTCTTTAACAGATGGATAGCGATTAATCCCAACTTAACAGTTTTATAGCCATAAAAGTTGGCTCAAGCGTAACTATCTATTTTTTGAAGAAGTGACTCTGGATACTTCTAAAGAAACATTTTTGGGGTAAAAACCTTTCCTATAATGAAATGAAGTTTAGAACTAGGCTTTTGAATGGTACCAATATTGGTGTGAAGTGGGGATGCATACGTTTAAAAGTGCTTGTCGCGGGTGGCGCGATTTATTTGCTGTCGAGTGTACGTATTCAATTTGCATAAAATTTCTTTCACTTGGCTGCTTAATGGATTTCGTACAGGAAATTCACTTACAGTAGGAGCCATTTCACTAATATTTGGAACACAATTACATAAAATTACACGTATCTGCTACCAGTACCGGGGGTGAAGTGAAGTATGAAGCGGTGCGTGGCGGACGCGCCGCGCTTCAGGCCGCTTGCTATAAATAAACCGGTTTAAACCATGCGCGGGACGCGCGCCGCGCTTCAAGCCGATTGACACTCTACACTATCGGTGTGCACTCACACAAATGCAATTCTCAGCTTAAGTTGAGAGGACTGTACTATGCATAATGCAAGCCTTGAGTCACAATAAAACAAGAAAGGAATTTGAAATGTTTCATAAAAGCAAATTTTCGAAAAATATCCTTTTTTCTTTTTTCTTATAGGTATCAGCCTGTACAAGAAAAAAGAATTCTCGCACCCACCTGTATCCCATAAGTCCTCCAAGAGTGGTAGTAGTTCCTAGCATAAGGCCATAGTTTGAAGGGTCCTGTGTAATCTGATACGCTCCAACTCCTGAAATAATTAAAACATGAAACATTAATTGAAATAGGCGAAATTAATTAAATTTCTGTTTTGTTTATAATAATAATAATAATAATAATAATAATAATAATAATAATCGCCCCGCAGGGCAGCTTTGTGGCGAGCTGTTGGTGAGTAGCGACACCACGGGGCCAGTTGTTAATCCGAGTGCTCCCGAGAGTCGGTCAAGACCCTCGTCTTCGGCTTGCCGAAGTGGAATCCGAGAGGGTCTGCAGGACTTTCACCTCTGGCTTGCCTTAACCGGCCGGCCAGAGTGGAGTCGCTAGAGCTATATGCTCCAGGGGTGGAAGTGTTAAAGGGCATAACGCCGCGAGTAACTTCGGAGAAAGCGCAGCACACCTCTCTACACCCCTGAGCTGGCAGACGCCAATGTTGCCCCTCAGTCCGGTCTATACGACCCATGACGCCAGGGGGGGCCCATTTAGTCGCTGGCTAGTCACCGCCTGCCATTTTTTCAGTCCGAGACTATGAACCAGGCAGGTGTCCCGTAGTCTCCATCCATAGCCCAGTAACCAGTCCATCCATCCTTCATCCATAACCCTAGTCCATTCTCCAATAACTGCAATAGCTCCTGTGCACAGGCTGGGGATGGTCTCTGGCTACATCCCATGATATAGTCAGAGACTAGATCCAGCATGTGCACCACTTTCACTTTTGTCGATTATTTTGCGCTTAAAACGGCCTCTACGTGTTGGATCTGTATCCCCACGCAAGCCTTATAAAGGACCGGGCCACTTTTGACCCGTGAGCTCCAAAGCGTACAAACATAATAATCGAATTGTACGGCGATTCCTACAAGAGGACCATCACTTGGTTAACAACCCGTGAGGTTCTCTTGCAATACCGGAACAACCAGTTCCGAGAATCTTTAAGAAGAAAATATGGATAATAATAATATTTCTTTATTGCACAAAACTTTTACAATGGTAGTAACACAATTTAAATATAAATATAAATAGTGCATTGCTGAAGGAGACACAGAGTAAATATACAGAGGTTTCCAAACTAGGCCAAGCCTGTATCTTGGAAAACCAATAAAATTAAGTGTGTAACTTGCAGAGAAAAGGAAAACCAGTACAACAATGCAATTTCTGGTGCAAAAGAAACATCATGAGTAGCCTAAAAACATCAATTTATCAGGTTTTCTGTACTTAAATAATCCAGCGAGAGTAACCACTTGCTTAGGGAATAATGTAATAATGAATATAATAATGAATAATGAATATAATAATGTAATAATGAATAACTTATGAAATAATATTTGCATTTCTGGTTAGAAAAAACAAAAAAGTACAAATTAAACAGTAACATTGATACTGTGTTGTGTCAATATGCTTTAAAATAAATATCGGTAGAAATAATATATTAAAAAATCTTACCCAAAATAGAACCGAAAATAATGCCTGCTCCTAGTGATGGAATGGAACCTGTAAATATGAAAATTATAATAAATAACACAAATATCATTTAATACATAATCATGATAATTTAATGCTTAATCATGTAACAACCGAAATCAATTGTTTTCGTAATCGCACTGAGCTTGTTTATCAACAATCTGATTGGTTTTATCATAATTACCTCAATACTCAATATGTTTATTGCTTCCTTAATAGTACTTTATGTGGGGGTTATAGTAACAAATTATTTTAATACAAGTAACTGAATGTGCCATGACAATAAATATAATTACAAAATTCATAAAACTATACATGAATCCTAAGCAAAATACAATATTAACATTACATTGCAACAGACTGCATGTGTCTGATAATGTTATGTTAAACTGTGCTATAATAACTGGGAATGAACAATGATGTTATTGCTGCATAAATTAAACAATCATTATAAATGATAATGTGTTTAGCATGTAAAGCATCCCAACTAATATTATAAATGCGAAAGTAACTCTGTCTGTCTGTCTGTCTGTCTGTTACGCTTTCCCGCTTAAACCTCGCAACCGATTTTGATGAAATTTGGCATAGAGATAGTTTGAGTCCCGGGAAAGAACATAGGATAGTTTTTATCCCGGTTTTTGAAACAGGGACGCGCGCGATAAAGTTTTTCTGTGACAGACAAAATTCCACGCGGGCGAAGCCGCGGGCGGAAAGCTAGTAATGTATAAATTAAATTATCTACTTAGAGACAAATTAGTAGAAAAACCAGTCTACATATCAAATTAGGATGTTTAAATAACGGTCTGGCGCTATCTTTAGTTGATTTTCACATCTCAGCTATTGCTTTAGAATAAGGCTCCAATTTTCTGTATAATGCGAATTTTTTTAAGTTAGTCCTCACCAGATTTAAACAGTAACATAGATAACATAACACTAGGACCTGTAAACGTTGTGCCCACAACCCAGCTAAGATGTTTGACTTTTTGAAAATATGTCTCAGTATAGGTATTTATCTTATCTCAAAAACGAGTTCAATAACTGTCGTAGATCGAACACGTAAGCTGCATATTGGCTTTCAGTAGCGTATCTATCGTTACATAACTTTCTTTTGATAATCAGTTACAAAAACAGAATAGAAAATAGTAAAAATAAACTTTCAAAACTATGTGAAACTAACCTGCTTTAGCGTATCCCATAATACCGCCTGCGGCAACAGTAGCGGCATAAGCAAATCCCAGAAAATCGACACCCATGGTTCTAAAGTAGCAATAATTTATGAAATTCGACTAATTTGTAAATAAATTGAAATTATTTAATTTTCCACAAGTCACACAACCACCACAAAAAACCGGAATGATGACAAAAAAAAAAGAATGATGAATGAATGTTGACTTTGACAGTAATGACAGCTGGCTGCTAAATGACTGAATGACACAGCCTTGGACACAGGCAATTTGAGTGTGCTTTAAGGTTAAAACCATGAAGCTACAGATAAAAATGGAGGCCATACTCCAAATACCTACTTGAAGCACAAACTATGTATCACTATCTCGCTCTCTGTGGGCAGACTCGCTCTTTCTAAATAAACAAAAAATATCAAATTGCTCAAATTCAATGAAACCAATGTATAGCCTGACCAGGAACATAAAAACCCTGGCATAGAGGCGCGTCCAATTGCATTTGATAGTGCAACACTGAGTCGTACCTGTACAGTCGTACCTGTGTTAAATAAATAGGCTAACTTTATGTATCAGGATTCAGGATTACGGGCTAATTTGATATTTTCATAAATTAACGAAAAAATATTATTATAGGTAAACAGATTTAAATAAATTAAATGAAACCATCAATCGAGCTAGTAGAATTTATTTTATTATTCATCAATAATCAAATTCAGAACTTGAATATTCAACTGCAATGTCTGCTCATGAACGCTTCAAACTCGGTACTTCTTTCCCAATCCCATAAAATTCAACACTTAGAAAGTGACCAAATTTTTTAAAATAGATTGTTGAAACAAACCACAGCTAATTTTTATAGTGGACTGTACTATACGATAAACATGTCAGTCAATTTGACAACCTTTGTCGGAAACATTATTCAATGAAAATATTGTCCGAACCCTTAGTATTTCTCTTCGACAAATTACTTTAGCACATTGTGAACCACTTTTCTTTCACGACTATAAAAATATTTTAGCAATTTGATTCATAAAACCAATTGCGCACATTTAAAATAAAGTTTGTTTACATTTTGACAGCAATAAACTGACATGCAAGGTGACATGTCAATGAAGTTTTCAGTTACTGTTGCCATTAAAAGAAATTAGTACCATTAGTTTTCCGCAACATGGCGAGGGTTTTTATGTTCCTAATAACGCCGCACCTTAACCTATTTTTCACTTTACATCAAAACATTATTAAAGGCATCATGGAAAAGTAATATTATGCAAAAAACATTCCAAACTTATTATGCCAAATTATATTAATATAAAGGCACTGGATCTCTATCAGAAGGAACTCTAGGGGTGGAATCTCCATAGGCGTGGGTTAACGGGCAAGGAGATAATATCTTGGATGGTTGACAACCACTTTTCCTACAATTTAACGTTCCACCAAACTCAACTCGATCAGGAAACCAAACCATTACAGCTGGCCCGGGCGCGAAGCCCGACCAGGAAACCAAAACATTACAGCTGGCCCGGGCGTGAGGCCCCTTCGACCAGGAAACCGGGGTTTAGGTAACATGGCCCGACGCGCAAGGCTTAAGCCAAGGCTCCTTCAACCATTTACCTCAAACCGCACCACTACTACTGCTGATCCAGGCATGCAGCCATGCGACCAGGAAACCAGGGTTTAGGTAACATGGCCCGACGCGCAAGGCATAAGCCAAGGCTCCTTCAACCATTTACCTCAAACCCAACTACCACTATAACTGCTGATCCAGGCATGCAGCCGTGCGATCAGGAAACCAACATTACACCAGCGTGGCCCGGGCGTAAACAGCCCCTTCAACCACGGCAACAGGGTGGCCCGGGCGCCCTTGGCCCGGCCCCCTCAACTCACTCACTCACAAAGGCCCTTCTAGTTTACGTCAATCACAATAATTTCCGTCAACCTGCACCAACTCTCAATGTCTGAGCCAGCATCCTCCATGTAAAACTTGATGAGTTGCGTAGCGTAGGTGTGCATGCTAAAAGATTTATCTCCTTTGAATAGTGCCCTTCGAATCCCACTTCTGATAAAGGCACTGGATCTCTATCAGAAGGAACTCTAGGGGTGGAATCTCCATAGGCGTGGGTTAACGGGCAAGGAGATAATATCTTGAATGGTTGACAACCACTTTTCCTACAATTTAACGTTCCACCAAACTCAACACGCTTTCAAAGAAAACCTCGCAGCCGCCTGCTCACACTTGACATGACACAACTAATTGACAGTTATCTTTTTCTGCGCATCAGTCAGGTGTTACGTTTAGGAATCACAAACCTTCTGCTCTACAGATTTATACAGAAAACATAATATTAAGATTGGTACTATTAATCATCAATAATAATTGCAGCATCTGTGTCCGGCGCCGACAAATATATGATATCAAAACGTTCAAAAGTTTGGCTGTACAGGAGCATGTACACAAGATGTTGTTCTTTTTTATGAAATTTGTTAGTACTAAGGTTGAATTTTTAAATAATCACTGTTAAATGTGATTAATTTATCACTTTTACCGCGACTGTCGGTAATTATTCATAATAACCGGTTATTATTAATAATTTTCAATTTATCACATTAACCGTAACAGATACATCAGATAATATAGCCTGACCAGGAACATAAAAACCCTCGCCATGTTGCGGAAAACTAATGGTACTAATTTCTTTTAATGGCAACAGTAACTAAAAACTTCATTGACATGTCACCTTGCATGTCAGTCTATTGCTGTCAAAGTGTAAACAAACTTTATTTTAAATGTGCGCAATTGATTTTGTGAATGGAATTGCTAAAATCTTTTTATAGTCGTGAAAGAAAAGTGGTTCACAATGTGTTAAAGTATTTGTCGAAGAGAAATACCAAGGGTTCGGACAATATTTTCATTGAATAATGTTTCCAACAAAGGTTGTCAAATTGACTGACATGTTTATCGTATAGTACAGTCTGTTAGGATATAGAATTTTATCATGAGATGACATGTTGCTGGCAGGTTTTATTTTAAAAGTAAACAGCATTAGAATAAAGTTTGAAAATAATGACAGGTGTAGACAAGCAAGAAAATGTGACATTGTATCATTGTATTATTGAATTTCGATAGAGTCAGTTGTAAATGGTTTAATATTTAATATGTAATAGATTTTGATATTGTTTTAATAATAAAGTGTGTGTGAAGTATTGAAGTGGCGTTATTATGATTGAATAACCTCCCAGGAGTTGTGTAGAGAGGCACACTCCTCGAACAGGTTATGGGCCCAGCGTACGAACCCAGAATGGTGATATTGATGGTGATATTTGTGATGAAGTTATAAGCGGTGGTGTTGGTAATGAAGAAGTTAATGAAGATATTAGAAATGGTGTTGAAGATAATGGTGTTTGTGAAGAAAGAGTTACTGATGTTTTTGAAGATAGAGTTGAAGATGTTGAAGTTGATGGTGGAAATACTGAGAATATTGAAGATTGTATTGAAGAAAATATAAATTTGAGAGGGGAGGTGAGAGAAGATTCAGCTGTTGAAGGCAGTGATGGTTTAAGGATTTTACCAAATAGAGAGAGGAGATTACCTTCTAGGCTAATGGATTATGATTTAGAGAGTTCGTTTTTAACTTTTACGGAAGTTTTGAGTAGTGTTGATAAAGATTTATGGAAGAAAGCAATTGATGAAGAAAAAGAATCTTTAGAGAAGAATAAAACATGGGAAATTGTAGGAAGAGAGGAAGCAGGAAATAGAAAAATAATATCAAGTAAATGGATTTTTACAATAAAGCCTGGTGGAAGATATAAGGCTAGATTAGTGGCAAGAGGTTTTTTACAAAAGTATAATGTTGATTATAAAGAAACATATAGTCCAGTGGTAAACACAACAAGTGTTAGATTGTTGTTGGCTATTGCAGCTCAACAAGGGTTTAAAATAAAGCAGTTCGATGTGAAAACAGCATTTTTATATGGGGAATTAAATGAAGATATTTTTATGGAGATACCCTTAGGATACAACATAAAGGACAAAGAAAATAAGGTGTGTAAATTAAAGAAAAGTTTGTACGGGTTGAAGCAAGCGCCACTTATGTGGAATAAGAGGTTGACGGAATTTTTGAAGAAATTGGGATTGATACAAATGAAATTAGATCCATGTGTGTTTCATAATAAAAATAAAAATATATACTTAGCAATTTACGTAGATGATGGTATTTTGATTGGTAAGGATGAGACATGTTTAAATAAAATAATAAATCAATTAGAAACGGAATTTGAAATGCGGAAATTTGATAAAACTGAAAAGTTTATAGGTTTTGATGTGTTAATTGAAGAACATTTTATAAAAATTTTTCAGGAAAGTTATATAAATCAACTTTTAGATAAATTTAAATACAAAAGCTTAAAAGATAGTAGTCATCCAGATATTTTGATAGATACACATCAAGAGGGGAAAGGTGGTGATGATGATGTGCATCGTTATAGGCAATTAATCGGCTCGTTGTTGTATTTAGTGAACAAAACAAGATTGGTACTTCTTTCCCAATTCCATAAAATTCAAAACTTAGAAAGTGACAAAAAACTTTAAAATAGGTAGTTGAAACAGACTACAGCTAATTTTCATAGTGGACTGTACTATACGATAAACATGTCAGTCAATTTGACAACCTTTGTCGGAAACATTATTCAATGAAAATATTGTCCGAACCGTTAGTATTTCTCTTCGACAAATACATTAACACATTGTGAACCACTTTTCTTTCACGACTATAAAAATATTTTAGCAATTTAATTCACAAAATCAATTGCACACATTTAAAATAAAGTTTGTTTACACTTTGACAACAAAAGACTGACATGCAAGGTGACATGTCAATGAAGTTTTCAGTTACTGTTGCCATTAAAAGAAATTAGTACCATTAGTTTTCCGCAACATGGCGAGGGTTTTTATGTTCCTGGTCAGGCTATACATAAAGTTAGCTTATTAATTTAACACAGGTACGACCATAGCTGGGCACCGTTAATCAAATAGTTAACTTCGTTAATCGTTAAACCGTTACTAAAAAAATTAACTTCGTTAAACGTTAAAACGTTACATTTCGGAAGATTTAACGCAAGTTAACGTTAATCGTTAATCCGTTAACACGTGATAATAAAACGAAAAAAATAATTAAATATCCTTGGACATTTTACACTACGTTTCTAGTCCCAAACTAAGCAAAGCTTGTACTATGGGTACTAGAAAACGGATTAAACAAACATATTATATTTCAATACTTTTTTTTGTAAATACGTACATATTATATACATAGTCACACCCAGACCCGTCACAGAAATTAAAATTCATCATTTCAATTTTTGCCCGGCCGGAAATCGAACCCGGGACCTCTCGGCATAGTAGTCCGTTCCGAACCACTACACCAAACGGCTGTATTGTAAACTGTAATTCAGAACAAAAGCTTGTTTTTAAAAAAGTTTTTTTTAATATAATTTTATTTTACACTTTTTAGTTGTATCTCAATCTCAGAGCCTTGGTACAATTGCAATACCATTTAGCATCAAAGTGCTCGAAAAGACAAATCCAACAAACTCAAACTCGATAAGTTTCCACCGCGGCACCGTTTCGTTTAGAAATTCCTATGGCCACCTCTTGACTCCATCATCAGGACCGTGGACATCTAGTACTAAAGTGCTCGAAAAGACAAATCCAACGAACCCAAATTCGATGAGATTCCGCCCTTTCATTTAGGAGTTCCGATGGCCACCTCCTGACTCCATCATCGGACCAGCTCAATGGTGCCATAACATTGCATTGTCATCGTACTTACATAAATATTCCAAATTTTAAATAAACTGCTTGAAAAAATCGAACTGCCTAAGGCGGGACTCGAACCCACGACCTACCGCTTGCCGGGCGACTGCTCTTCCGACTGAGCTCTTAGACACTGGATGAACCTGTCGAAATTTTCAAGTGTCTTGGGTTCGAGTCCCGCCGCAGTTTGATTTTTCAAGTTCATCATCATTATCATCATCATTCAGTTGTTTATTTATAATTTAGTTTGAGAAGCGACCCAATTCGCTAATACATTCTAATAACGATAAATATACCAAATTTCAGCACAATCGGTTGAGGATAACTGGTCCAACTGGTCTTAAATTCAGTTGCAAGATTTGTCCCACACATACTAACAAGTGAAGTCAATATAAAGCTTATAAATAAAAAAAATAGCATTTTTTAAATCGTTGCGTTAGTGATCTGGTTACAAAAACTGTTGTTTTGGGTTCTGGAAGTTCTGGAAGCCCGAACGTCTGGACGCCAGCGTGCCTTCTGTATCTTTTTGGTAAATAGTAGGTACTGGATTAACGATTAACGGACTTAGGATAATTTAACGGAAGTTAACGAGTCCGTTAACATTTTTTAAAGTTAACTTAAAAGTTAATCCGTTAATAGAAATGTTAACTTCGTTAATTAACGATTAACGGATTAACGAGTTAATGCCCAGCTATGGGTACGACTGTACTCAGTGTTGCACTATCAAATGCAATTGACGCGCCACTATGCCAGGGTTTTTATGTTCCTGGTCAGGCTATAATATCGATATCGAAATAGATCTTTGGCTTCTCCCTCTCTCAACCAAAAACTTCTTGCTTGACGTTCTTGACAGCAAGAATAATTCACAGAAATTTTATTTAAAAAATTCTCCGTATCCGTCTGATCTTTACTTGCTTCAGCCAAACCCACATTGAAATTATTCTAGAGATATTATGTTAAAGCGATCCTGACTCATACATTGCGTCATAATTTTGGTCAATACGTCATACATACAGTGCCGTATCAGTTTGGGTACCAGCTGATAGTTTATAATGAGTTTTCATGAAGCCAGCTACTCAGTTGTCCACCGCTGCCGGTAGCCGTAATATTCGCTCACGTTTGCGCGCTGGGACTGGCCGATAACCTTGTTACGTAGCGACTGCAAGGCCACAATACTATCGTTTGTAAAATAGTCAATTTAGTTGGTCGCGATGTTGAAAAGTGCGTCTAAAGTGACAATAAACACTGGGAATGTGCTAAACCTGATCGATATAAAGAAGAAAGCCGGCCAGAATGTTACAGAAGAGGTGAGTACATTATTGTGTTAGAATACTAGACTATCAAGTTGCGGTTTTCCTGTGCAGCATGGTATTTATAATGAATTACTAAATTATCATGTCATGAAAATAGAATTGAATCATGAATGAATTTTATTTTGCCATAGAACCTAGTTAAGGTTAAATTTTTCTAAAGCGACCTGCATAACCTGTTATAAAAAATTAAATTGGCTCATAAATGTATGGAAATTCAATCTCTATCCCTTTTCGTTCTAGCTTGAATGTCCCTTTCAGTAAATGTTACTTATATTGTTTATTTCCTTATTAAAAAAGTCCAGGACAAAGGTGACTGAGTTTCTTCCGCCACTTCTTCTCAGCACCAGCCCATATGTTGTCCCGAAGTGGTGGTACAACTATATTTGGGATGTGTATAAGTGTCCTAAAAAGGGCCTCCTACATATTAATAAAGACTTTGATTTGATCTTACATTATAGTGCATGTCAAGAAACTATGTTTTGTGCGATTTTGGCAAAAAAAGTTTATGAAGAAAATGTTTCAGAGAAATTGTGTAACATCACTGTATTTGGATTTAATTTCAATAATGTTTCCAAGTTCTCTTAACTTTGTTAATGCAATAGACTCAATGTGTAGAATCACATTGCAGCTGTGTACCTTACCTACTTGCTAATTTTTTAGATTGTTATATTTTTAAAATCTTTTTAGCTTTTTTTTAGGTAATCAGTGCTTGCTGTAGTAGGTTTTAGCCTGTTTGATACGAGTGTCTAATTTTGACCATGACCAACAAATGTGATACAAATATTATAAATCTTATTTTTGCTATTGTATGATAAAATATAAAATAATCTTCAACTATAAATTGTTATCTTATCACTTCATCTTAGCTTGTTATCATCAAGTTCAGTTATTTTCTATTATTATAATCTACACTTCTACACTATAATAATAATTTTTAATCTTACCAGCACTAAAGCTGAGATAAAATATACAAACAAATAATAATAATATTAAAAGAGGCAAACTTTGTTTGTTTGTTTGGTTGTAATGAATAGGCTCAAAAACTACTGGACCGTTTTTAAAAATTCTTACACCATTCGAAAGCTACATTATCCATGAGTAACATAGGCTAAATTTTATTTTAGAAAAAAATATGGTTCAGGGGTCCACGCGCGCGAAGCCGCGGGCGGAAAGCTAGTACTTAAATAAAGTAATGGGTTTATTGTTATTGAAAAAAAGTGTGTAAATTATTGAAAAATATAATTATAGATTTAAAAATATCATCATAGACCCAACTTAATTTATGGGATTCTAGAAACACTATTAAACATCTGCAACTAAAAATAAACCTTATTTCCTCTATACTTTACTCCTTTTTCGTTTGTGATATTTTTTACTAAACCAGTATTACTATGCTCCACAAAAAAGGTAGCCAGCAGAATATGGAATTACTAAACATTACTTAATATTCAGTCAATAAATGCTGGTCATGCTACAATGTAAATTAGCAAGTCATTCATAGTGTAGAAATATGTATGACTTAAGGTTTTTTTAATATGGAGTCCCATTCATGCTATGTCATGATGGATTTTGTTGTTTATATAGCCTTTTCGTACTTTTTAGACCCAAAAAATGGCCCATGTAACATAGTAAAACTGCGTGCAAAGCAGAGCGGAGCGGTGCGAAGAAGTGTTTTGAATAACCAATCAGATTTCATTATTTCCAATTCTCCGCGCCGCCGCCGCTGTCAAATTCTATAGAAAAATCCGTCCGCCCGACACTTTTCCTCTCTTCTCCGCTCCGCTCCGCTCCGCTCCGCCTTGGTGGAAACCGGGCCTAAGAACCGCGGTATACCGTGCTTAGAGAGAGACGTAGATTCCGTAGACTTGGAGGTTCTGGGTTCCGATAAGGAGATCTGTATTATTATTTTCTATAATTACTGACTTATTATGTTACTTTCAGTTAGTTCTTAGTTAGTTAATTTTGCAGGGCAATCGAATACCGCACTTAGCCTCATGATTGGGCCATTGTGCGCGATTTGTGGTTTATCTTCCTACTCCAACCACCCCAGATCCCCCCAGAAGGCAAGCAGCCCGTCTAGGCTGCTACAGGCCTCCTGCAGCGACGATGGTGATCGAAGAAATTGAGTTGTTCTGCTATGCTACTGCACTCCATGAGCATTGAGCACATGCTATGTTACTTTTATTCCTTTTCTTTCTTGGTTATGCCTCCCCCTATCTCGTGGAACTATGATTTACTGACCTAGGTTATGTGCCACGATATAATCGTCGTTTTTAGGCAACATTTCATGTATAGACTTATCGTCGAAAATCGATAGAATGTCTCGATAACAGGATAAAATGATGCGCTTCCTACTAGGCTACCTGAGTGAATGTTGCTGTAAACCGCTGTACCTATAGAAACGGCTTTTCTTCTTGTCGTGTTGACAACAAACCTATACAGTGTCAGCCCAAAACTCCACTACAGAGTGGTGTTGTCAGTAGCATTCATTAAGTCCTGCGTGCATTTTATTGGGCACGCAGGAAACAAAAACGACTCAATGTAACGTTTCATCCAATGAAATTGCTGATGATAACCCTTTTTTCCAGCTGTCAGAGAGCATCAAGCTAACACTAACAGAATGGAACTCCCAGAACGGATTACCAGTACAGAACGGGGTGTCAACCCCTGAAGAACATCCGCAGACCTCCCAACAGCATTCCGACTACATGGTAGTTCCGACCTCGACCGTTCCAGAGGCCGTGGTGAATATCACCAGGCCGCATGATGATGTTCAGAACAAAATGGCTGAAGAGGAGAGGAAGAACCTGAAGATTGGCGTCAAGATCTTCATTAATGAGGACAGCACCAGTTCGCTTACGGAATGTTTGGAAAATGGTGAGTTTATAACACACTCATGCAACTCATACTTGTGCACGACCCTCGGGATAAACTAAACCTTCACTGGTTGTTTTTATTGGCGGTAAAGCTGTAGATCCTGACTACACAGGAGTTGCAGCGGTGGGAACTGGGAACGAGAGGTGGGAATAGTCTCGTATACTTGTGTGTGTAAGGTTGATGAGGATACTTAGCTGTGTGGAAGAGTGACTTCTTACATAGAAGTTTCCGTACCTAGGCATCATCATTATCATTCATTTAATAACTATTGCAAAAGCACGAGCCTTTAATTTACTAGAGGCTAATGGGGCATTTGACTTACACTCCCCACTGTCCACACACTGGCCAGACAGGTTAAGAAGCAGGTAAGGTGATTTATAAAAATAGAAAAGTATACTTTTTTCAATATGGCATAACGTTCTTTCTACAGCGCAGAATTCCAATCAGAAAAGGTTAAATGTCCAACAATATTTATTCTCTCCCGCAATATCTTAACGAAACTGAGCTCTACTACAAAAAGTGATCAATTTCTGACTTGTATCGAGTTACAGTCAACCGTTACAAGATAAAACATGGCTTTGTACAAGTTCACCGAACGACGGACAATCGAATCTGTTTACATTGGCCGAACCGGTGACCTACACGGTCTGTCAACTAACGCTGCCTTATGATTTTTCTTTAGCGAGATCGTAATGGATAATGGTGAAAAACTTAAGATTTCAAAAGTGATGATGATGGTTTTATAAATTCTGCATCGTAAAATTCGCATGCCCATACGTAGCATCATATCAGGACCATCTAAACAACTTTGTACCTATGATGATGATGAAAAAATAACCATTTTCATTTCATCAAATCGGTATTTGTTCATACGGACTCAATATATTGTCATTGATGATGAACAACTCCAAGTAAACGTGAAATTATGACCAACAACTCATACAAATGTTAATAGAATATTACCATTGATCATAACAGTACAATAATTCAGATATAATGTTTTCGTATTACACAATACTGCGCAGTTATATTACGTTTTAAATTGTTCAAGTTGACGCTAATTAAAAACCTAATATTCATATTTTGAAGGTAAAGGTGTGAATGAAAAGTCGCACGACTAAAGTACTCTGATACTGATGGGAATACCACCATAAAAAACAGACTGGTGGAGGTTGAGGTGGTCCTTTTTTGACGCAGAGGAAAAGCTTTGCGCACCGTCACCACTGCCGAGGGACAGAGTGGTGTGTGGGACTCCCGGCGCCGCCTTAAAAATGGCGCTGCTTCGTCCCGAAAAGGATGGGGTATACCCACTAAAACCTCCGCTGCGTTCCGTTATCGCCCGAGTGTGGTGGGTCAGTATCCGGGCGTAGCCTTAGACTTCCGCGATAAGGTTGATTGAGTAGACCTGGAACACACTGTAACTTTCTAGAACAGAATTTGGTGACATTTTTATAGGTACAGACTGAAAAATCCGTCAGACCGCTTTGGGAATACAAAGCCATTTTTGAAAACAGACTTTTTAAAAAAAAAAGCAACGCAAGAATTTTTAGACCAATAATATTTATTTAACCCATTATAGACTGAGTTTTCTTAAAGTGTCAGATTTTTGTTTTTTTGAAATATGTTCATAATTATGGTCTACATAATGCTATACAAGCATTAAAAAAATGATCCGACCTGTAATCTAGAAAAAAAATGCTGGTACCATATGGTACCGCTAGCCTCTTACCGTGTCAGTCTGTTAAAACATAACTTTATCATGGGCTTTATAAAAATAGGGTTAATTATATATTTTATTATTATTATTATATGTATTAATATACAAGCAAATAACAGAAGTGATATTAAATGTAAAAAAACTGTATATTGGGTAAGGAATATTCATTTTTATCTTTGAATATTCAAAAATTTGGAATGGAGCTTGGCATTGCACACTGCTCTTAGCTCCATGTAACATTTCCTATACTCTAATATTGTTCGAGAGTTGCAATTATCTCAAGTTCGTTCTATAAATATCTGCTTCGTTTTGGGACCTTCATCGTCCTCCAAAACTGCCAATGTTTCGTATAAGTTACATCTAAAATAAATAAAAACCCATGGTTTTGTAAAGTATAGGAAACTATTTTACTTTATCTTCCTGCATACCTTATATACCATTGAATATATCACATACTTCCCAATAAATACAGTAAAAACTAAAAATCATAAAATAATTAAAAAGACACGGTAAGCGGCTAGCGGTACCGTACGGTACCAGTAATTTTGACATACAATATTTCCCATTATTATTATTTATCGACGTAATTTTACACCATTTCACAATAAGAGCACTTATGGAGAATACAAGATTGTAACAAAATCAGTATTTCACTATCACACAAAAAAAATATGATCACTTACTTGAATGGCGCGTCAATTTTTAAGAGAAAATTTTGATGCGCTCACTTCAATCATTAATTACACACAACTGAAAAGAATAACTGTAAATTTTTATTCCTAGAAGCATAGACCATATCTATTGGCTACGACTTGCATCAATCAGAGCACTGCATCTTTTCACGTGTTAATGTATAGAGCCAAATTAAAACACACATAAAAGTGGTACCATATGGGACCGCTAGTCTATAATGGGTTAAAAGGGGAATCAAATAGTATGTTGAGCTGTATATTTATGTGGGCTTAGTGCTTATGGTAATGATGAAAAATAAGTTTTAAACTCACGCTTAAAAACCAGCAGACAAGGATTATGTATCGTTAACGAGTTCACGGTCGTATCCATTAATCTTCGTTACTTGATCATACACGAGTACTTAATTAACACCTACTGCTGGGTTATTAAACTCCTAAAGTCCTAGTGCCTTATTACAAAAATTAAAAGTTAAACCCGCGATGAACGCTGGTTTCAAATGTCATTTTCATACTTCTTCTTCTTGTCGTGTCGATAACAAACCTATACAGTGTCAGCCCTAAACTCCGCTACAAAAGTGGCGTTGTTAGTAGCATTCATTAAACTTTCTGTGTGCAGTTGTTTGGGCACTCAGGGCATTTCCATACTAAATGTCAATTTAACCTAGTATTGATCAATGCGAGCTTGACTTTTTGGTAAGGGGGATTGCTTCTGCCAGCGGCTACGCCCCTGGAGATGTCGAAGTCTGTTAGTCTGTCGAAGAGGTCTCTATCGCGCGTAGTAAAAAATTGAAACATAGAAAACATATAGATCGCGCGCAGCTGCGTTATTTCTTTATACATCATTATCATCATCATCATCATCTCAGCCATAGGACGAGCGTGGGACGTCCACCCACAAGGTGGACCGACGACATCATAAAGGTAGCAGGAACGCGCTGGACGCAGGCCGCTACCAACCAGGTAACATGGAAAGCATTGGGGGAGGCCTATGTTCAGCAGTGGACGTCCTATGGCTGAGATTTCTTTATACAAATAATATGGTTATGGTATGGTCTAATATGTCATAATTATTAAGAAATGATAATCTTACCATACCTTACCTAGTTACTTTTACTTTCTGCCGCTAAAGGGAGAAATGGCGCGTAACGGTGACGGTCTGTGTCCAGGTGTGGACTGCTTTAAGCTGAGGTGGAATTGTATAAAGCAATCAGTTCAGTTCATAACGTACGATAAAGTCAGTTAAACAAAGCGTTTAACAGAATAATCGTACGTTATGAACTGGCAAATGATAAAGATTGCTTTGCACAATTCCACCTCTGATGATGGAGCTAGGCTAGGATCCCATTGCTCATTTTCAATCAATACTACTATGTGTCGAACGATTGAGCCTTGAGCTGATAAGATAAAGCTGTAGGTAATTGAATAATCAGGAAACAAAGTGGTCTGTTTTACTATGATAATAAAGATAACGGTATGAATAATGCATTTGTATACAGGTTGTAAATATCTTAATATAAAATACCTACCGTTAGTATACCTAATTGGGGAACATTATGTTATGGGTTATGAAAATTCATATTACTTTTTCAATGAATTTGAGTGGGAATGCTGTCAGTATTAGAGCCTAAAGAACACTAGCTAGAGACTGCGGTTTTGTTCACGAAACAGATATTTTAGGACGTCCACCCGCAAGGTGGACCGATGACCTCATAAAGGTAGCAGGAAGGCGCTGGATCCAAGCCGCTACCAACCGATCATTATAAAAATCATTGGGGAGACCTATGTTCAGCAGTGAACGTCCTATGGCTGATATAATGATTAGATATTTTTTTACAATATTGCCAATATTGTTTATATTTTTAACTATATTTCTTTTTTTCCAGTATTCACAGCCCTGCACACAGAGTATATAGACAACGTGATCCTGTCGTACAACCCCGATCTCCTGCACAGAGACGAGGCGACTGACGACAGCAATCTGAAGAACAGCTACGCCACTAAAGCGTCCCCTATATCGCTTGGAAGCAATATTGGTAAGTTACTATAAGTTTCCTGATTTCTAGATAGTAGGAAAAGACTAAAACGATTTAATTATATGACTCTTAGATTATAGAGAGCTCATCTGATCAACAACTAAGCCAAACACAACCAAAACGTCTCCAATATCGCTTGGCAATACTCTCAATATAGTTTCTCAACTGTCATCTGTTTTTCTTGCTCAGACAGAACTAACTAAACTAGATATAGATGACCCACGCTGAACTGTCCCACCAAACTCAATGACAGGGGGGCGCTATCATCGTTCAACTATATGGTTTCCAACATGGCAAAAATCGGAACCAGCGATCCAGTCTAGATGGTGGCGCCCCACTGTCAATGTCATGCATAGGACAGTTCAGTATTTTGGAACTATACTCCAATTTTCTGCTTAACTTCGTTGCGGGTCCACTGACAAATATAACCTTTCTCTTGGGCGAACTCAGACTACCTTGGGACGTCCACCCACAACGTGGACCGACGACCTCATAAAGGTAGCAGGAAAGCGCTGGATGCAGGCCGCTACCAACTCATTGGGGGAGACAAGCAGTGGACGTCCTGTGGCTGAGATGATGATGAACCCAGCCTTTGATTTTAATTTTTACTGCTCATGATATTTTGATCCTGGATTCACAGACAGTGGCAGAGGTAGTAATAGACCAGACGGGCTAGGATGCGCGCCGTAATATCGATGATTTTAGACGTCAACAAAATATAAAATATGGGCTTAATCGATAAAATGGAGCTTATAATCGCAGCGCGCATTCTAGGCCTAAAGTCTGTTCGCAGAGAGTTGATAAAAAAAAATAAATATCAGAGGTTCTATACTCATTATAAATTGCGGCCCGCTAATTATTTTTGTCGATATAATGAAAAAGTTGGTAGATTATATTTTGGCCTGGCCTTTTTTTTGGCCTGGATTCTCGGCTCGGTTACAATTTAATTTTGGACTACCATTTATAAGAATGTTCTAAAAATACCAATTATCTACCAAAATCTACTAAACGATTTCGCACTACTAAATCATCGTTCTCTTTGCCTCAAATCTACCAAAAAAGTAGAAATCTACTAAAAGTGGTCACGCTGTGGCCGCCGCCGCCCGCCGGCCGGGGCGCTTGACGACAGCTGCGTGGCTCGTACCATGGTACTCAGTGCGCGTTGTGACAAACGACGCCCACCATACAGAATGCGATAATTAAGCGACAGTCGCTATTGCAAGACATTTCATAATATTTATCAACTCTCGGCGAACAGACTTTAGTACAGGTCACAGATTTCCTGATTCCCTTTTATTCCTATACCTACTGAGTCGTCTGCATTGTTTGAAACAAAGTCATTAATAAGCCTGTTTGTAATGTAACGTAGCCTCCGAAAACGTTGCAGGCCGTCTGTCCAGCCACGAGGCGGAGGCGGACAGCGAAGCAGACGCTAGGAAGTGTGAAGCGATCCTGCCTGGGATTAAGGTGCTGTGGAGCGTGCTAGAAGACTATGTCAAAGAAGGTAATTACCATCATCTTCTTTGAGTATGAGACTGGGAGCTACAGGTCTCAAACGCGAGAGGTTTACAGCGAAGCAGACGCCAGGAAGTGTGAAGCGATATTGCCTGGGATCAAGGTGCTGTGGAGCGTGCTAGAAGACTATGTTAAAGAAGGTAATTACCATCATCTTCTTTGAGTATGAAACTGGAAGGTATAGGTCTCAAACGCGAGAGGTTTACAGCGAGGCGGATGCCAGGAAGTGTGAAGCGATACTGCCCGGGATTAANACGCCCACCATACAGAATGCGATAATTAAGCGACAGTCGCTATTGCAAGACATTTCATAATATTTATCAACTCTCGGCGAACAGACTTTAGTACAGGTCACAGATTTCCTGATTCCCTTTTATTCCTATACCTACTGAGTCGTCTGCATTGTTTGAAACAAAGTCATTAATAAGCCTGTTTGTAATGTAACGTAGCCTCCGAAAACGTTGCAGGCCGTCTGTCCAGCCACGAGGCGGAGGCGGACAGCGAAGCAGACGCTAGGAAGTGTGAAGCGATCCTGCCTGGGATTAAGGTGCTGTGGAGCGTGCTAGAAGACTATGTCAAAGAAGGTAATTACCATCATCTTCTTTGAGTATGAGACTGGGAGCTACAGGTCTCAAACGCGAGAGGTTTACAGCGAAGCGGACGCCAGGAAGTGTGAAGCGATATTGCCTGGGATTAAGGTGCTGTGGAGCGTGCTAGAAGACTATGTTAAAGAAGGTAATTACCATCATCTTCTTTGAGTATGAAACTGGGAGCTATAGGTCTCAAACGCGAGAGGTTTACAGCGAAGCAGACGCCAGGAAGTGTGAAGCCATATTGCCTGGGATCAAGGTGCTGTGGAGCGTGCTAGAAGACTATGTTAAAGAAGGTAATCATCATCATCTTTTTGAGTATGAAACTAGAAGCTATAGGTCTCAAACGCGAGAGGTTTACAGCGAGGCGGATGCTAGGAAGTGTGAAGCGATATTGCCCGGGATTAAGGTGCTGTGGAGCGTACTAGAAGACTATGTTAAAGAAGGTAACTCAATTTTCACAAACTCGCAATGATCTATGCTTCAAATAGGAATTAAACCCGCTTACTGCCAGGCGACTGCTCTGACTGCTGATTTATTTATTTATTTTGTTTGGTATAAAACTGAGGGTAACGAGTCTCAAGTACAATATTTACCGAGTAGTAAATGAGTACTTATGAGAGCAGAATCGCTAAAATCAAGTGGCACATAGCTCGTAGAGCTGATGGCCGCTGGGGCAGGAAAGTTCTTGAGTGACGACCACGAGCCGGAAGACGTAGCGTGAGCAGGCCTCTCACTAGGTGGACGGACGATCTGTTGAAGGTCGTGGGACGTGCCTGGATGCGAGCGGCGCAAGACCGGTCTTTGTGGAAGTCCTTAGGGGAGGCCTTTGTCCAGCTGTGGACGAACCAACGAAAATGAGTACTTAAGTGGTAGTGGGTGGGGCAAACAGCTAACGGTAGGTAAAACTACCATTTTAGCAGATAATTTCTCCATTGAACCGCCAATCTGGAGAAGGACCTGGAAGCATCTGGATGTAGACATGACCGGTCAAATTCAAAAACGTTTATTGCATGTCACATGTCGTTGTGGAAATGTGTGAAACGAGCATGAGTACTTACAGCTTGACGTTTTGGCTGACACACATTTATTAGAACTACTCTGTCCAAGTGTTGGTTCAGCTGTCTAAACAACATCACTTAAACGCTGTGTGACTGATAAGTATCGTAATCGTAATGTTAATAAGTAGATTAATGGCATCTGGGTAAATAAAAAACAACGTAATGTCAAAAACATATTATCCAATGTGAAAATTTCATTACCAATAGATAGCTATAATTTTTTGTTAGTTTTTTTGTTTCCCACTGCTGGAAAAAGGCCCCAAGGATTTCCACAACAACTGTTCCTGAGCTGCCGTACCCAGGTACTCTCCACGACCTTCACTAGATCGTCGGTCCACCTAGTGGGAGTGGCCCGTGGTTGTCACTCGAGAACTTTTCTTCCCTAACGGCCATCAGCTCTCCGAGCTATGCGCCTTGCCCACCGCCACTTAACCTCTCAGCCCCCAAGTGATAGCCGGCTACCGCGTAACAATTGATTATTTATTGTGTCTAGATTCGCGAAGCTTGAAGGATTAAGTTATGCAATTCTGTAAGCTACGTCGGTCACTTAGGTTTTCCTGATTTTTTCATTGCAAACCTGGATTCCAGGATGAATAAGGACCGAGATTTTAAACGATGTTTTTCTATCATCATTATCATCTCAGCCATAGGACGTCCACTGCTGAACATAGGCCTCCCCCAATGCTTTCCATGTTGCCCGGTTGGTAGCGGCCTGCGTCCAGCGCCTTCCAACCTGATGTCGTCGGTCCACCTTGTGGGTGGATGTCCCACGCTGCGTTTTCCGGTACGCGGCCTCCTCTCCAGAACCTTGCTGCCCCGTCGGCCGTCAGTTCTGCGTACTATGTGCTCTGCCCATTGCCACTTCAGCTTGCTAATCCATCGAGCTATGTCAGCGACTTTAGTTCGTTTACGGATCTCTTAATTTCTGATTCGATCTCGTAAAGAAACTTTTTTAATGTTTTTCTAAGCATCCTTTAAACACCTTCTAGGTCGCGTTCACCAGTTAGGCGTGGCCGACGTGGGCGGCGGTTGTCTACGCAAGCTCCACGCGTGGGCGCGCGTCCGGCCGGCCATCGCGCAGATCAACCTGGCCTCGTGCTGCGTAGTGCCGCCATCGCTGCACGCCTTTTGCCGCGCCAACGACGTGCAGCTGCTGACGCACGCCGACCCGCCAGGTAAGACGAATCTATCGAACAAATATAGTCTGCGAGCACGTAGAATTTTGTCCAATGACCCCAAGCTACCCATCCTTATCGCTCGCGCGTAATTATGTTGCTATCGCGCTCGCACACTCACTGCGGGCGCCCGTCGCACAGTCGCGACAGCAATATAATTACGCGCGAGCGATAAGGATGGGTAGCTTGGGGTCATCGGACAAAATTCTACGTGCTCACAGACCGGGCTTTAGGCAAGGCATTAGATAAGTTATTCAACTGGCCCCATGCTGTGTCGTGCAGCATATTGACGCACGCTGATCCACCAAGTAAGAGTAAAGGATATGACCAGATGGGGGACCTAGACCAGTTGTGTGCTTCAAGCGACTGATGAAGATCAACCTGGTCTCGTGCTGCGTCGTGGCCCCTTCTATTGCGCCATTGACGTGCTAGCTGCGCGTCATGCTTGACGCATGCTAGCTAATCCACCAGGTAAGAAGAATCTAACCGAACTTTTGTGGTATGTAACTAGCTAAAGAACTAAATAAGTCGTATCCTTCAAGTCGACGTATGATGAAAAGCAACCTGGCCTCGTGCTGTGTCATGCCTCTGTCCTTGCACTCCATCTGTCGCGTTAAAGACCAGGTAAGAAGAATCAAGACTGATCTCAGAGCTATAACTAGGCAATGTCTCGCAAGCTCCACGCGTGGGCGCGTCCGGCCGGCCATCGCGCAGATCAACTTGGCCTCGTGCTGCGTCGTGCCGCCCTCGCTGCACGCCTTCTGCCGCGCCAACGACGTGCAGCTGCTGACGCACGCCGACCCGCCAGGTATGAACTAAAGCCTGGTCCGTGAGCACGTAGAATTTTGTCCAATGACCCCTAGCTACCCATCCTTATCGCTCGCGCGTAATTATGTTGCTGTCGCGCTCACACACTCACTGCGGGCGCCCGTCGCACAGTCGCGACCAGACTATACCTTAAGAAAGAAAAGAACACATGTAGGCCAGTCGCTTTCTTTAAGTCGACTGACAATCTGGTCTCGTGCTGTGTCGTGTCACTTTTTGTCGCACTAATGACGTGCAGCTATTGACGCACGCCAACCCATCAGGTAAGAAGAATCTTATCGATCCCCTCAAACATATTAAACAGGTAAGAAAGAAAGGAAGTCTCTTTCTTCAAATCGACAATCATGCAATTTAATCTGGCCTCGTGCTGTGTCGTGCCGTCTTCTGTCGCTTTAAGCAGCTTTCTGATCTTCCAGCTAAGAAGAATCTAACTGGACTTTTCTAAGGTGTAACTAGGTAATGAAGTAGATAGTCGCTTCCTTCAAGTCGACTATCATATTTCACAGATCTCGTGCTGGTCGTGCCTTCTGTCATGTTAACAAAGTCCAGCTGTTGATCAGGTAAGAAGAATCAAGACTGATATCAGAGCTATAACTAGGTAATGTCTCGCAAGATCCACGCGTGGGCGCGCGTCCGGCTGGCTATAGCACAGATCAACCTGCGGGGTTACTCTGAAAAACGTTATCAGAAGTTTCGAATGTTGCCATCCCTCTCACGCAAAGCGAGATGCCAGCGCGAGCGACGGTAACAAATAGACCCGAAACTACGTAAACAGTGTTTCAGAGTAGACCTCCTGGTTGTCTGGGTGAGTACTAGGTAATGTCTCGCAAGCTCCACGCGTGGTCGCGCGTCCGGCTGGCTATAGCACAGATCAACCTGGCCTCGTGCTGCGTCGTGCCGCCCTCGCTGCACGCCTTCTGCCGCGCCAACGACGTGCAGCTGCTGACGCACGCCGATCCTCCAGGTGAGAACTACCTTAAGAAAGAAAAAGAAAACATGTAGGCCAGTCGCTTTCTTAAAGTCGACTGACAACCTGGTCTCGTGCTGTGTCGTGTCACTTTTTGCGTGCAGCTGCTGACGCACGCCGACCCGCCAGGTAAGAACTACCAACATGGACGCAGCTGCCTCCCCTCTCCCCTAGAAGTCGCTTTGAAGGAGCTAAGTCAAACTATCTTACCTACAAATTCTGAAATCCTCCAGGTAAGAAGAATCTAACCAAACTACTCTAGAATCCAACAACGCGTAGGTAAAGAACTAGATAAGTAACATCTATTGCCTCGACTGACGTAAAGCAACTTAGCTACGTGCTGTTTCGTGCGTCTGTCCTTGCACTACTTCTGTCACGTTAACGACGCCCAGTAAGAAGCATCCAGATGACTCGATCTTCTCTGGGATATAACTAGGTAAAGATCTAGATAAGTAGCTTTCTTCGAGTCAAGATGTTTGATGAAGTAACTTGCCCTCGTGTTGTGACGTGCCATTGTCCTTTGCTTTTTGCCACGCCTTTTGTCCCGTTAACAACTTTTGTCCCATTAACAAGCTCCAGCTATTGACCAGGTAAGAAGAATCAAGATGACTCGATCTTCTCTGGGATATAAACTAAGTAAAGAACTAGATAAGTCGCAACCTTCGAGTCACGTTAACGCGCAGCTATTGATCAGGTAAGAAGAATCAAGACTGATCTCAGAGCTATAACTAGGTAATGTCTCGCAAGCTGCACGCGTGGGCGCGCGTCCGGCCGGCCATCGCGCAGATCAACCTGGCCTCGTGCTGCGTAGTGCCGCCATCGCTGCACGCCTTCTGCCGCGCCAACGACGTGCAGCTGCTGACGCACGCTGACCCGCCAGGTAACCATTGTTCGTTTCAGCCAAAGAAGCCCACTGCTGGACAAAGGCCTCCCCCAAGGATTTAAACAACGACCGGTCCTCCGCTGCCCGCATCTAGGTACTTCCCGCGACCTTTACCAGATCACCCGATCTACCCGACAGCACTTCCACCCCCATCACTTAGATGGTTGGCAGTCCACAACAGTACGTTTCTCTAGAAACTTCCTGCCCCGTACAACCAAACTGTGGAATGGACTGTCGTCTGCGGTGTTTCCGGACGGATACGACCTGCAAGCTTTCAAGAGGAGAGCGTATCTTTATCTTAAAGGCCGGCAACGCACCTGTAACGCCCCTGGGTCTGCGGGTGTCTATGGGCGACGGTAATCACTTACCATCAGGTGATCCGTCTGCTCGTTTGCCTCCTGTCACATAAAAAAAAAACACCAGGTAAGCATATACACTTCTAAATCAAGCTCTTACGGGCCAGATGCTTAGGTTTACTTTAAGCTGGCTATAACAGATCAACCTGGCCTCGTGCTGCGTCGTGCCGCCCTCGCTGCACGCCTTCTGCCGCGCCAACGACGTGCAGCTGCTGACGTACGCTGATCCTCCAGGTATGAACTAAAGCCTGGTCCGTGAGCACGTATTTTGTCCAATGACCCCAAGCTACCCATCCTTATCGCTCGCGCGTAATTATGTTGCTATCGCGCTCGCACACTCACTGCGGGCGCCCGTCGCACAGCCGCGACCAGACTATACCTTAAGAAAGAAAAGAACACATGTAGGCCAGTCACTTTCTTAAAGTCGACTGACAACCTGGTCTCGTGCTGTGTCGTGTCACTTTTTGTCGCACTAATGACGTGTAGCTATTGACGCACGGCAACCCATCAGGTAAGAAGAAGCATATTAACAGGTAAGAAAGGAAGGAAGTATCTTTCTTCAAGTCGATAATGGTGCAAATTAATCTGGCCTCGTGCTGTGTTGTTCCATTTTCTGTCGCTCTAAGCAGCTTTTTGATCCTCTAGGTAAGAAGAATCTAACTGTAATGAAGTAGATAGTCGCTTCCTTCAAGTCGACTATCATATTTCACAGATCTCGTGCTGTGTCGTGCCTTCTGTCATGTTAACAAACTCCAGCTGTTGATCAGGTAAGAAGAATCAAGACTGATCTCAGAGCCATAACTAGGTAATGTCTCGCAAGCTGCACGCGTGGGCGCGTCCGGCTGGCTATAGCACAGATCAACCTGCGGGGTTACTCCGAAAAACGTTATCAGAAGTTTCGAATGTTGCCATCCCTCTCACGCAATGCGAGATGCCAGCGCGAGCGACGGTAACAGATAGACCTGAAACTACGTAAACGGTGTTTCAGAGTAGACCTCTTGTTTGTCTGGGTGGCTGGGTGAGTACTAGGTAATGTCTCGCAAGCTGCACGCGTGGGCGCGCGTCCGGCCGGCCATCGCGCAGATCAACCTGGCCTCGTGCTGCGTAGTGCCGCCATCGCTGCACGCCTTCTGCCGCGCCAACGACGTGCAGCTGCTGACGCACGCCGACCCGCCAGGTATGAACTAAAGCCTGGTCCGTGAGCACGCAGAATTTTGTCCAATGACCCCAAGCTACCCATCCTTATCGCTCGCGCGTAATTATGTTGCTGTCGCGCTCGCACACTCACTGCGGGCGCCCGTCGCACAGGCGCGACCAGACTATACCTTAAGAAAGAAAAGAACACATGTAGGCCAGTCGCTTTCTTTAAGTCGACTGACAACCTGGTCTCGTGCTGTGTCGTGTCACTTTTTGTCGCACTAATGACGTGTAACTATTGACGCACGCCAACCCATCAGGTAAGAAGAAGCATATTAACAGGTAAGAAAGGAAGGAAGTATCTTTCTTCAAATCGACTAAGGTGTTTTAATCTGGCCTCGTGCTGTGTTGTTCCATTTTCTGTCGCTCTAAGCAGCTTTTTGATCGTCCAGGTCAGAAGAATCTAACTGGATTTCTCTAGGTTGTAACTAGGTAATGAAGTAGATAGTCGCTTCCTTCAAGTCGACTATCATATTTCACAGATCTCGTGCTGTGTCGTGCCTTCTGTCATGTTAACAAACTCCAGCTGTTGATCAGGTAAGAAGAATCACGACTGTTCTCCTCAGAGCTATAACTAGGTAATGTCTCGCAAGCTGCACGCGTGGACGCGCGTCCGGCTGGCTATAGCACAGATCAACCTGCGGGGTTACTCCGAAAAACGTTATCAGAAGTTTCGAATGTTGCCATCACTCTCACGCAAAGCGAGATGCCAGCGCGAGCGACGGTAACAGATAGACCCGAAACTACGTAAACGGTGTTTCAGAGTAGACCTCCTGGTGGTCTGGGTGGCTGGGTGAGTACTAGGTAATGTCTCGCAAGCTGCACGCGTGGGCGCGCGTCCGGCCGGCCATCGCGCAGATCAACCTGGCCTCGTGCTGCGTAGTGCCGCCCTCGCTGCACGCCTTCTGCCGCGCCAACGACGTGCAGCTGCTGACGCACGCCGACCCGCCAGGTGAGAAGCATCAAGATTATATTCAGGGAAAGCTAGAAGTCGCTTTTCCTTGAGTTAACTATGGTGAGAATTGTTCGAGAGAAGAAGTCGCTTTGAAGGAGCTAAGTCAAACTATCTGACCTACAAATCTAACTTGAACGCATATCAACTCAGTAATGTCCGTGCGTACTTGTGTAAAGGTTCAACCAAACCAACGCGATCACACGCGATCAGCCGCCGGCTGATCGGTTTGGCTGAACCTTAAGCCAAAATCAAGCTGTGAATTCGGCCGTGTATGCCAGATTGGTACTTGGTATTAGACGTCATTTTTCGAATATTAAAGATGCTCTTTGAGAGCCTACTTACAAAAAATAAATGAATCGTGCACCGTTTTCAGGAAACAACCCGCAGTTGTTGTGAAATACATTATATAGCCTGACCAGGAACATAAAAACCCTGGCATAGAGGCGCTTCAATTGCATTTGATAGTGCAACACTGAGTACAGTCGTACATGTGTTAAATTAATAGGCTAAATTTATGTATCAGGATTCAGGATTACGGGCTAATTTGATATTTTCATAAATTACGAAAAATATTATTAAAGGTAGCCTGGTTTAAATAAATTAAATGAAACCATCAATCGAGCTAGTAGGATTTATTTTATTATTCATCAATAATCAAATTCAGAACTTGAATATTCAACTGCAATGTCTGCTCATGAACGCTTCAAACTCGGTACTTCTTTCCCAATTCCATAAAATTCAAAACTTAGAAAGTGACAAAAAACTTTAAAATAGGTAGTTGAAACAGACTACAGCTAATTTTCATAGTGGACTGTACTATACGATAAACATGTCAGTCAATTTGACAACCTTTGTCGGAAACATTATTCAATGAAAATATTGTCCGAACCCTTAGTATTTCTCTTCGACAAATACATTAACACATCGTGAACCACTTTTCTTTCACGACTATAAAAATATTTTAGCAATTTAATTCACAAAATCAATTGCACACATTTAAAATAAAGTTTGTTTACACTTTGACAACAATAGACTGACATGCAAGGTGACATGTCAATGAAGTTTTCAGTTACTGTTGCCATTAAAAGAAATTAGTACCATTAGTTTTCCGCAACATGGCGAGGGTTTTTATGTTCCTGGTCAGGCTATACTATGTATTTCACAGTTACAGTAATAATTATAATTTTAGTTTTAACGCAAATTTACAAACATTATTAACTTAAAACTATCCATTGTCCCCAGACCTACTCTCCATAGCAGCGGTCAAAACTCTCTCAGACGCGGGAGTAGGTTGCCACAACTTGGACTGGTGCGCTCGATACCAGGTTCACATCAAGTGCAGGGGAGTGTTGGCGCTCAAAGGATACGTGTGTAAAGGCACGCTCGGCAGCCATAAGTAGGGGAGACCGGGGTGGAAAGGACCAGTTCATAAAGGGATCTTGGTTTTGGAAATGTTTTGTTATCTATGGTTACGGGTAATGGTGCGCGATAATAGTGTAATGCCCGTTTTCACCATCAATCCCTAATTTTTAAGTGACCCCTTTGGTAACAACTAACAGGAATTTTGTTTTCATAGGGGTCACTCAAAAATTAGAGATTAATGGTGGAAACGGGCATAATTGTATGGTATTTAAGTCACTGATAAATACATAGAATGTAGCATTTAAACCTTTTTATGATGAACTATGTAAAATTTCTAAGAATTTGAAAAAATCGAACTGTCTAAGGTGGAAATGTAACCCACGACACAAGCGATAATTTTCAAGTTATCAGAAATTTAGTTACAGATGAAATTCTTAATAATGAAAAAAGATACTTAAGATCATTCTCAAAAGCAAGATTCCTTTATCAATGTAGAGGAAACGCTTCTTTTAAAATTTTAATTAATTAAAGGTCGATAAGCGTCTTCTATACAGTAGTTCAGTTGCGAGCAGTATTTCATTCCATTAGATATTGTCATTCCTAAAGAACTACTAGGGACAATCGTGTATTGTAAATTCTAATAAAATTCAGATTCGCTTGGTTCGACTAATTCTCATAGAAATATCTAAATAAACATTTAGAAGCATTTTAAAAAGTATATAAATAATGCATTTACAGAAGATGTTCTCTATGTATTTTCTAATAAGTGCTCGCAACTGAAAGTAAAAAAACGCGTATAACTACCCCAGTTGTGTCTATGGTTCTGAAATGTACTTACGAATGTAGACCCTTTTGTTGATGATATAAAGATCAAAATTGTATGCAGATTGTGAAATAGTAATTCCATTGTGATATTAGCCTATGAAGAACATTATGCAGGCTTAGAAATAAGTGCACAAAGCAGTGTGATAAAACATGGCTCTCTTGACAGCTGTCAAAAATATGTAAACTTATTTCCTGAAATGGCAATGCTATAAAAAGGTGTACTTTAATAAACTGAACTGATGTTAATGACCACACTTGATTCAGTTTCAAGCACTTAATCGAGTTAAGCATTTTGTATAGGTCGTCCAACGAAAGTTGAGGCAAACTCACACTGAAGTATTTGAATACAGAACACAACGCATTACACATACCAGTTTAAATATCGAATACAAGCTACTTCGTTCTTGTTGAGGCCTTGTCCAGGTGGGAGAATTCGCCGCGAATCCTACGCGCGAACACGGGCGTATTGTATGACGAGATTTACGTGCGAATTTTCAACTCGCGCGTCTTGTGGACGCAATGTATTGGCTCCTAGTATCTCGCCAATGCGCGTATGGATTCTTCGCGCGTAGAATTCGCCCTCTTGGACAGGCCTTAACTCTGCAGGCGAAAGCATTTGTTAGTCCAACTTCGCAAGATGTCAGCGCAGACAGCGTATACAAATCTTTGCTTGTGTTGATGGCCCCAAGTCTCAACTCTCGTTGAGCGACCTATATGGACCATAATGATTTTGACAGATGTCATTGGAGTACAGTTTATAACAATAAAGTTAAAATTATAGTGTGCGATCTATGAGTGCTTAGCGAAATATTTGTGATACATGTAGTGGTTAATCAATAGTGTATACAGCCTGATTCTTACGCGCGAGAAAGAGACAACGTTATGTTATGATTCTTGTCACACGAATGTGTGTGACGTCACGCGCAGATTCACTTACAAAAAATACCCTCAAATAATTTGAATTTTAATGGAACCCAAATATTCGAAAAGTGTAATCTCAAAGTGAAACTGTTAAAGTCAAAATTTATTTCTTTGTTTATTTAGACTTTTATTAAATAATGCTTACAAAAACAATTAAATAAGCCAAACAGCATCTTAAGTGTTTGTATTAGATGCTATTGCATTTTAAAATTATGTATACGAATTTAATTTTGAATGATTTTTTATTTTTATCATTTACTGATGTTTTGATACTTATACGCCCGTTTTCACAAACATTACTATGAGTTCTCACAGTGCGCGTGGACGCGCGGGGTCACATACGAACCAATCACAGAGCTCTATTCAACGCTGTGCGTTCAATTTGCTGCTTCACTTAAGCAAGCATCGTTTGTGAACACGGGCGTTATTTAAAGGTATAGGTATAGGGTTACTAACATTGTTATTATGAAATGCACTAAAATGTTACGGGAGCAAGATTGCACGGTTATGTTCAATAGTATTTAACGTATAAAACTATATGTATGAAAACAGTATTTTATAAATAACATTCCTGACTTTCTTCTTGTAAAAGTCAAATACTACAATGCAGAAATGTTAAACAATGTTAATAAATGAAACACAAGTGTTTAAACGAATTTGTGGAATGAATGAAGTATTCAAATGAAAACTCGGAGTTGATTCTCGGAAGTAATAGACTTTTTTTTTTCAAATAGATAAATGTGAAAACCAAGTAAGTATACTTATTATTTAAAAAGTGTCAAATTTGACTTACCTATTGCCACTGCCCCGAAAATGTTGGGACATACAGGGTGTTGATTTCAATCCTCGCCATATTTATTTGGTCGATCTATTTATAACTTACATAAACTCATTATTCACCAAAAAAACTTTTTTTACTGATTTGTGATCAGAATAAGCTACTTAATCACCTCCCTGAATATGGCGAGGATTGAAATCAACACCCTGTATAAAAATACATTCAAAATCCAACTTGCTGTAACTTAATGAATTTGACCTTGTTTTTTCGAAAGGTAAGATTCGTTAGAAATCGGATTTTCGCTTAAAAAGACAGTTTTATCAATAACATATCATATTTAGAGATGTTATGTAAATTGTGTAATGCATGAGAATCGACCCCCTGATATTTGAGATGGTTTAATTGAACCTAAGTAAGTTTTTCTGTTTTGGGAATAAATGAATAAAAAGGCTTGTTATAGAGATGTCAAACACTCTCTTTGCGAGGTATTTTATTTAAGTTAAAAGTTATGTAAATGCTACTTTGAATTTTGATATTTACCCAAAACTTTATTGTTACTGAATTAAAAATTATGTTGCAACTCACTTAATATTTTATCAAATTATTTAAGTAAAAAAAACGTAAAAGCTTATGTAAAATTATTATAAAAAATGAAAAAGTACTTAGTTTTAACATTATTACTTAAATATGCAAAAATGTTACTTATTTATAATTTAAGTTGATACTGAAATTGTGTTGAAATTAAAGTATTTATTGTACAGGTATATTGACTATTTTTTCACAAAAGACCTACTAAACTCTAAATCCTATAATGGACTACAGAGGTGCAATGCTTGAGGTATGGGAGCGACACGTGAGGTGTTACACATAATTATAGTTCCAAAATACTGAACTGTCCTATCCATGACATTGACAGCGGGGCGCCACCGTCAATACCGGATCGCTGGTTCCGATTTTTGCCATGTTGGAAACCATATAGTTGAACGATGGTAGCGCCCCCCTGTCATTGAGTTTGGTGGGACAGTTCAGCGTGGGTCATCTATTATATGACGTGGCAGAGCATACAAGTCTGAAGCACATCTGAAGTCTCGCTGACGTTTGACGTCACAGAAACACCATCCTGTGACCGCTCTCATACCTCAGGCACTGACATAGTTCAGCACTAGAGCTATAATTTGAAAATTTTAATTAGTATTTTACCTCAATCTGACCGATTAGTTTCCAAGGACAAAAAAACAATACATCATAATTGGATAAATGTTTTCTTTAATAAGAAGTACCTACAATAATTTACTTTCCCAAATATATCTAATACTTATTATTATAAATGCGAAAGTAACTGTCTGTCTGTCTCTCTTTCGCGCCAAAACCACTGAACCGATTTTGATGAAATTTGGCATAGAAAAGTTTGAGTCCCGGGAAAGAACATATTTAAGATAGTTTTATCCCGGTTTTTGAAACAGGAACGCGCGTGATAATGTTTTTCTGTGAAAGACAAAGTTCCACGCGGGCGAAGCCGCGGGCGGAAAGCTAGTCGTCACACATAAACAGACAAAATGAAACTAAATAATTGCAAATAAAGTTTATTTAATATTTGCGCCAAAAACCCACATTACGATATAGTCAATGTGAAACATTTGCACAAAGTCAAAATATCAAATGACCTGCATTTTTACAAACGTCTTAACATTATTGTGTCTGTGACACATTCTAGGTATAAAAAAGTCACCTGCGGGTCTAGTCAAAACGCACTTTAAAATCGCAAACCCATCGCAAACCAGTCGCAAACAAATAAACAAATCGCAAAAGAGGTCGATAACAAAAAAGGCTTAGTCAAACGGCAAAAAATCGAATCGCAAAGCCCTACCTATCGATGGGTACTTCTCATCGCCACGGTTCTCATCGTCACCTTCGTGGCGAATTTTATTTCTAACTTATTTCAACTTTTTGTAAACAAAAATTGTAGCGCTTGATGTGAAGATTGTATTCTCAGTAAATCAGTTAAATAGTGAGTCTCGTTTGGAAGCTTTAACGTTTTGAATTTTTTGATGCCACGAAAGTGATTCTGTACTTCACAGCAATATTTTTTTCAAACTTTACTACTGTAAATGACTCATAAGTGTTTATAAAACATATATTTTTTTCTTATTTTCATAGATAAATAGCAATAACATAATATAAATAGGTACCTACTTAAATACAAGATAAAATTTTACCGATTACGTCACCTACTAAGTTACAAGATTCTACGCAATTGGTTTTAAGGGTGACACTGGTGGCATTCTGAAATGCTAAAGAAGCAAAAAACGGATTATCAGTACCTCAATAAAAAAGAACTCTAAATGATTATTAGTCCCTCAACAAAAAAGAACTCTAAATGATTATTAGTCCCTCAACAAAAATATATTTTTTATTAAGACCAGAGGGCCTCGTATTTTTGTTGTACAACTTTTAACTCAAACTTCAGATTAAAATCTTACAAACAGATACAGACAGACATAAAAAATACGAGGCCCTTATTTTTTTATTGATGTACTGAACTCTACTAAGGCACCACGTATAATTTATTAGTTATTAAAATAATTATTATAAAAACATGAACACCAGTCACTATATTTTAAAATAAACCAAAGCAAGAAATCACTTTCGTGGCCTAAAATCACCTTCGTGTATAAAACACCACGAAGGTGATGCCACGAAGGTGACGAAAATTTTAGTTTTTTATAAATTATCCTTAAATTTGAATTTAACGGTTCAAGTCGAATACTACACAAATAAGTGTAACATGTTAAGTTTTCAATGGCAAAGTTTCAATTAAATTGTTTAAATTTTAGAGGTAGAAAATATTGTTCAAGCAGTGGTAAACACAACAAGTGTTAGATTGTTGTTGGCTATTGCAGCTCAACAAGGGTTTAAAATAAAGCAGTTCGATGTGAAAACAGCATTTTTATATGGGGAATTAAATGAAGATATTTTTATGGAGATACCCTTAGGATACAACATAAAGGACAAAGAAAATAAGGTGTGTAAATTAAAGAAAAGTTTGTACGGGTTGAAGCAAGCGCCACTTATGTGGAATAAGAGGTTGACGGAATTTTTGAAGAAATTGGGATTGATACAAATGAAATTAGATCCATGTGTGTTTCATAATAAAAATAAAAATATATACTTAGCAATTTACGTAGATGATGGTATTTTGATTGGTAAGGATGAGACATGTTTAAATAAAATAATAAATCAATTAGAAACGGAATTTGAAATGCGGAAATTTGATAAAACTGAAAAGTTTATAGGTTTTGATGTGTTAATTGAAGAACATTTTATAAAAATTTTTCAGGAAAGTTATATAAATCAACTTTTAGATAAATTTAAATACAAAAGCTTAAAAGATAGTAGTCATCCAGATATTTTGATAGATACACATCAAGAGGGGAAAGGTGGTGATGATGATGTGCATCGTTATAGGCAATTAATCGGCTCGTTGTTGTATTTAGTGAACAAAACAAGATTAGATCTGTCGTTTCATGTTTTTGGGAGTTAACTTGAAATTTTAATTTTAAGTTAGTTATGTAAGGTGTTTAGGTTAATTAATTCAAAAGTATATTTGTTGTATGGTTGTATTGGGTAGGTTAGTTAAGTTGGGTTTTAAGGAGTAGATAGGTAGTTGTTATGATTATATAAAGATAAAATTCAGAGGGGATGTTAGGATATAGAATTTTATCATGAGATGACATGTTGCTGGCAGGTTTTATTTTAAAAGTAAACAGCATTAGAATAAAGTTTGAAAATAATGACAGGTGTAGACAAGCAAGAAAATGTGACATTGTATCATTGTATTATTGAATTTCGATAGAGTCAGTTGTAAATGGTTTAATATTTAATATGTAATAGATTTTGATATTGTTTTAATAATAAAGTGTGTGTGAAGTATTGAAGTGGCGTTATTATGATTGAATAACCTCCCAGGAGTTGTGTAGAGAGGCACACTCCTCGAACACAGTCCACTATGAAAATTGGCTGTGGTTTGTTTCAACCCCTCCATAGCAAGTGGACAGATTCGCAACTGGACAGATTCTCAACTGGACAGATTCTCAGGTGGACGGATTAGCAACTGGACAGGACATGTACAGTCCATAACATAAAAACAACCTCCTGAAACCTATTTTAAAGTTTTTTGTCACTTTGTAAGTGTTGAATTTTATGGAATTGGGAAAGAAGTACCGAGTTTGAAGCGTTCATGAGCAGACATTGCAGTTGAATATTCAAGTTCAAATTTGATTATTGATGAATAATAAAATAAATCCTAGTAGCTCGGTTGATGGTTTCATTTAATTTATTTAAACCAGGTTACCTATAATAATATGTTTTCGTTAATTTATG